TATGGACAAATTACAATTATTATTCATTATTGGTAGAGGCGTTTGTGGACATTCTGAAGGGGATTTTGGAACATGTTTAAGGGCTGCTTTTTTTTTTTTAATTGGGTGTAATTTCACTTTAAAATTTGTAAGCTTTGGCTTCTTGATCACAGACTAGCACCTCTGTGAGATCTATTTGTCATGCCTTGAATCATTGTTTGTTATCAAAAAATGCAAAAGTGGAAAGTAAAGAATGAACCGATGTGCAGGTATGGGGAAAGAGGAGACCAGAAGGAAAGGATGAAAGAGCATGTGCGATTTCAAGGCTACCTGAGCTAAGGTCAGTGAATGAGAAGAAAGAAGGTAGCCATGAGTGGTCAGGGAAGATGGGGACAAGGTGTTCTTACTGCTGGTGACAGGGAGATTTTTCTTCTAAGACAGCCAGCCTGGTTCATGTTTAGAGTAGCTGTGAGTGGGTACAAAGAGGAACAGCCTGTTTGTAAATAATATTAAAAGTTGTGGGGGAGGGGTGCTGAAGGTGTAACTCAATGCTAGAGTACTTGCCTAGCATGTGTGAGGCCTTGGGTTCCATTCCAAGCACCACAAATAAATAAAACTTGGGAGGGATTGTGTGTTCCCACCTTGAGGCTTTGTCCCAAATTTGGTTTGGCATGAAGTTTTCTGACTAATCTACCAGCAGGGAGAAATAAATAGCATCATTCTTATCGGGAGTACCAACCAACATCCAGGAGTAACTGAGAAGAGAATGCTGCGCCTTCCATTCTGGAGGGAAGGCTACAGTGTAAGAAAACAATTTGAACCAATTGTTGTTATACTGAGTTGACAGTTGAGACACACACACAAAAATGTATTAAGAGCCAAGAGTTACTGCATATGGTCTGCAAGTCTTTTCTGGAGAAGTGAATCATGGGGATGAAGAGAAACAGCTTATTTTTACAGTTACATTTTATATTTCTAGAAAAATAACCACAACATGGTCTTGATTTCTAAACATAGAGAAATGAGACTTTTATGAATGTTACACAACACACAACATGCCACCTGTTGCAATTACAACTACATGCAAGTCATTCTCAAGTCTTCATTAAAACCAAAACAGATCATAAGACTTACAGTGATGAAAAAAAGTATTTGAATCAGAACATGCTTTTAAAATGATAGGATGCTCAAGTATTCTTAAAATATAATCTTTTGTTATCCAGAAAAAGTCTTGGTTTTTAACCAATCACGGCCCAGTGTCACTGGCACAATAGAACTGAGTATCATCTAAACATATACCAAACAGTGCTGGGGACACCCACTGATTCTGAGTTTCCCCATGCACCTATTCCCATGCTCTCTATCACGACAGAAGTGCTAGAGTATGGCTAACTTGGTTATCTAGGAAAATAATTTCCAAACTCAAATGAAATGTCATATGGTCATTTGGTCATATGGTCTAAAAATAATGGTCATTTATGGACCAACTCTGCTTTGAGAGTTACTTCAAACAAAAACACACAACAAAGTATTTAGTAACTAAGGACGTCAGAACATATACTTTTGTTCCTTCTGGTTCAAGTTTTGTTTTGATATTCTCTGAATTTCTTCCAATTCCCACATGAGAAAGCTACAAGTCTTCCCTCAGTATATGTTAAGAACTGAGAGAAGGATTAAACATAAAGATTTTTAGAGAACTAATTTTGGATTTTCACCTAAACAAGCCAATATTCTCTCACAATTTTTTAAAAGAAAAAAATGACTCAGCTTAATCATATTTTTACTTCTAAAAACAACATCTCATGATCCCATGAAGAGAAAGCAAAAATCAGATGAACAGGAATGGTTTTCATCTCACACAAGAATTAAAAGAAAGGTTAATTTTTACATGAAAATTACATCTACATAAAAATAGATCTCTGGAACAAATTGTTATTGATAGTTTCGTAGGATGATAAATGCACTCATGTAAATGTTCTTTTTCAAGCAAATTATTAAACATATTGATAATACTGCACTTTGGAAGCAATCATTTTAAAGAAATCAAATTCTAATATAAGAGTAAAGACATTGTAGCTAATACACTCTTTCAATCAAAGCAATATGTATACAATTTTTTTCAAAGTGCACTGATAAACACTGCTCATAAATTCAACCACAAATACGTATGCGGTGTTACTGGCTACTGCCTACAGAAAGAAAAACCAGGTAGCCAACTGATAAATTTGGATTCTGTGCATGCTTCTGTTAATTACTGATGGCCTACAAAAGACCTTATACTTTGATTACTAGCATTGTCACCTGTGAATGCTAATCAAGTTTAAGTTACTGCTATAAAACTCAAAACATGTAAAAACCAAACACATCTATGGAAGTACAAATGTTTTACTCATGATCATTAATCATTAATCAAGCAGTTCTCCTAACTGATTTTGCTAATTACTCACTTCTCCCAGGGCATTTACTGGCTTGATGGATATTACTGTGACATATGTTGACACCAGCAACTGGTCAGAAATGAGGACATCAATAAACCCTACCTGGTGTTTCTATAGATTGTGCCAATGTTATAAACACTGGCAATGCCAAAGCATTTATTTCAATATCATGCTTAGAAAACAGTCTGCCTTTCATTTAGAGAAAGAATGCTTCCAAATACTTAATGATGCTCAAAAAATACTTAGTCAATGAGTGATGCATTGAGAGTTACTTTATAAACTGGAAAACATTTGCCAACACTTAAAACAGAATAATCAATGATTATTGGAAATGCCTTTCCTGTACAGTGCATTGTCTGCTAATTTATATTCTATTCAGAATATCTAGAATAACTTTAAACAAATACCACTATTTTAAAGAAAGCAATTCCCTAACAGCTCTGATCAAATGTGCCATGTGTGGTAAATTAATAGACAAAAAAATGTTAGCAGAATTCAATTTGTATATACAAATTTGGTTTTCAACCTCCAAACTTTCGGATTCTTAATAACTTCTCAGAGATTATAATTTTAGATTGCTGATCAATGAATGCTCTTATACTTTTTTTTTTAAAAAAAAACAAGTTCTCTAAAACAGTGGACCATGCTGTATCTATACTTCAAAACTATTTTAATGGAGAGTCACTCTCCAAACAGGCAAATAATTCTGCTCTTTCTCTCTGGCCTCTGCTTCCCATTAGGGGAAATGTAACAATATGAGGTCTCCCATTTCTGGTAAGTGAAACTAATGTCACTCTTCTGTCACTGATACAGAAAAAAAAAATATTGCTTTTACTAAAAGCACAAAAGAGCATCAAGCAAAGTAACTCCAATGCAGTAAAATGAAGTCTGGCAATTAGCGATGACAGGGCAAAGGTCCCATCCTTGAACAAACTGGTCATGCTTCCTCACTGCTTTTTCCCACTTCTTCCCACATTCTATTTCCCCCTGCATTCTGAAGTTAAAAAAAAAAAGTCTGTAACAAAGCTCTGTAAGACGCTGTCACCAAGTCTCCCAGGTTTAGCACTCATCTGTTTTAATTTCACTTACACACCTTACTCCTTTCTCCTGCATCTGCCCTCAAGAGGATCACGGGCATCACACCCAGTGCTCCTCAGGATTGACGCGACAGAAAGAAGCACTTCTGAAGAAGCTTTGCCGTGGCATAACGCCAGCACCAGTCATTACAGCCTATTTTGTCACAGAGCCGTCAACACTACGGACTCAAATAACCCAGACACTACCGGCATCTCCTGGCACAAGCTCATCTGCCGAGTACCAAAAACATCGGTTTGGAAGGAACCTCCAGGGGTTTCTAATCACCTCTCCTCTTTCCCTTACAGCTGGGAACTTTAACGGGAATCTACACTACTGTAAAGACTCCTAGAGAGGAGAATTAAACTCGTGCCAACCTACAGATACATCATACAGAGGACCCAAATTCCTCATGCTGCCATTCCAACACTGCAAAAGTCCACGCAACAATCATCCTAATAAGTGTTTTAAGAATAGTTACGGACCCCAAAGTTCGCATGTCCCCAATCCACTGATACGACATATTCAATGCACATATAAGCACCTGGGAACTGAAATCTTAGCCCCCAAACTCAGGCATTCAGAGAGGAGAAATGAGAACTGCGGTAAGGACCAGTCTTCTGGCCAAGCGCAGAAAAGACAAAGCCTTCCTGGGCTGTCCATTCCTTTTAGGGGCTCATATTTGTAGATGACTGGGTTTCTTGCAGAAGTAAATAAAAAAAATTAATGGGTGAATAAACAAAGCAGCAGTCGCAGCGTCCTTATAAAAACAAAACCTTGCTTGACTTTGACAAGTTTCAGCCTGGAGTAAAATTACCTGCAAGTTACGAGCACAGAAACTGGGATTTCAATGGAAATGCTGACCCGACCTTCACGGAAGCAGCAAATTGCAGTCTCTGCTGCTCTGTTACAGCTCTCGAAGGCGTAGCACTGCCACGTCCACGCCCACTTCCCTCTCCGATTGCTCAATGTATAGCGAATATGCCGAGAGCCACGGCACACGCAATACCAACCGTTCCGGCGGCTGTTCCTCCCGCTACTCCTTAACCGTGGTGATTCAGAGCGCACCTGGAAATGACATGGGGTTGGCACGGCTTTTTAATATCGAAGACAAATGACCTTTGCAAAATGTAGACTGCTGAAAGTCAAACCGTTTGGAAAGACACCCGGCAATTTACTGCTTCAAACTCCTCGGAACGCCAAAGATGAGGAAAACAAATGGAAAATGCGCCCAGCCCAGGTGGTGGGGTGGTGGGGTCAAGAACCAAAACAGGTTTAAAAAAAAAAAAAAATCCCACACAGTAGAGACCGCTAGCCAAGGCTGCAACAAATGCCCCAGCAAACCGTATCCACAGCTTTCCTGGATTTTCCCACTCGGATTCCTCTTTCTCTGTGTGCCCGGTTGCAGCACCACTTCTCCGAGCCGCATCTTGGCGAGCGGGGGCCGCGGACTGAGGGGGGCAGCCGTGTGCCCCGCGCCGCCCGGCCGCCCGCCACGCCGCTACTCACCCGAGCCGCTCGGCACCGGCGACGGCAGCGGCCGCGGGTTGGCAGCGAGCCGGGATCCGCGAGGGCAGACGGGCTCCGGCCCCCGAGGACGCGGACATGTGGCTGGGACCTCCGCTCCCCTTAGCCGTCGCCTCTGAGCATCTTTCTGGGCGCCCCCAGCGAGTGCGAGAACAGCGGCAAGGCGAGGGCGAGCGCGCCGGGGAGGGCGGGAGAGGAGCCGAGCCTGGCTGCGCCCGCGTTGCGCCGCCGAGCGAGCGCCGGTTCTCAAGCAAGCTCCCCGGGCCTGCGCGCGCGCCCCCCCTCCCACCTTCCTGCTCCCGCCTCCCCCCACCCCACCCCCCGCCCCACTCCGCCCCCCGCCGCGCGCCCTCGCACGCGCCCGGCCCCACGCGGCGCGCGCCGGGCCCGGGCGGCGTCGGTGGCGCGTCCTCCCCCGAGCGCCGTCTCCAGGGCAGCTGGCGGCGCTCTCCATTGTTCTGCGGCGGCTGCCCGAGGTGGGCGGCCGGGCGGGTGGGAGGTGTCGGCTTGGTTGCCGCGGACGGCTTACCGCTCAGTCGGACCTCCGATTTCTGAGCGACGCGGGCCGGGCGCGGCGCGCGGGGGCTGCGGGGCCCTAGCTCGGCGGGCTGCCGGCGCGCGGGGGCTCCCTACTCCCGCACCCGCTGGAGCTCCGCGCGCCTGGCATCTTCTGTTACTATGGATATTCCGCTCTTCTGCCGCCCCCTCCTCGAGCTCCGAGAGACCGCCGGGGCGGTAGCAGCCAGGCGGCTCCGCAGGCGCCCAGGTGACCAAGATCGGCAGCGGCAGCAACGGTGGCCACAGCCACCACCGCCGCCGTCACCGCTGCTGCCACCGCTGGGGAGAGGAAGAGGAAGAGGGGGAGCAGGCAGGTCCTCTGCTCTACCCCAGAGGCCACCTCGGGTTTCCTCCCACTAACCGAGCTGCTTTGTGTTTACCACGCAGAAGTCACCGCAATCCGCAACTTGTGTGGACCGGTGGCCCTACCCTGTGGGACTTGCGTTCTAGCGGTTTTCAGAGGGATACGATCGGCTCCCAGGAGACTTGAAGGGTCACGGTTAAGATTTGGAGTAAGATTTTGATAAGGTTCAGACACCCTCACCCCTGTCCTCCGGTTTCCCCCAAAGTTACCTCTGTACTTCTACAGTTGTAGAAATTTACTTTGGCAAAGGCTTCTTTTCAAAATTATGCCAATTAAATGTCGTACATCTGTCTTAAATGTCAAGGGTTTTCGCCCAGGATTTTATCCTTGACATATATAAAAATAATGTCCTAGACTACTTAATACCGTAACCGCTGCATGCACACATCTGGCAACGCATACACCTCAGTTCTTTGGTGTTGCGGGATTTGCATCCTTAAGTGGGTGTTGCCTACTTAGTCTCAGGTGAGAGCCAGAAAAATCCCACAGAGAACAGCTGAGGTCTGAAAACAAGGTATGGGCATCAGAAGGTCTGTGAGTAGGTTGGAATGAAGTAAAAGTATTTAAGGAAATATTTGACACATTATGAAGAATTCCAAACTGCTTGGGCAGGGCACTTTCACGTTCTAAACTTTAAACATGTATTGCCTTAAAACCAGTGCAAACAAAGGGTTTGATCAGCTACAAAACCTCAGGCACTAAGACTAGAAACGTGAATTTATTTTTATAAGAAGTAACATTTACTGAGCGCTTATGATTTGCAAGGCATCTGTGCATTATCTCATTTAATTCTCACAACTGTGTGAGTAGGTTTTATTACCCTCACTCTGTAGATGAAAAAAGAAAAAGGCTTAAGAGAGATCTGCAACTAGTAGTTCTTCCTTAAACTAGCAACTCCAAATGCCTACTGCTTTGTCCACCCTCATGTCACTGTCTGCTTTTGTGAAATTTGTAAAGTTCTGAGGTCACTCTGGCTAGCAAAGGGCAGAGCCAGGACATAAACTGAAGTCGGTCAGACTTGCAAGTAAGAGCATTTTATCATATGATACTAGGGTATTGAGGATTGAACTCAGGACCTCATGCTTATTAAACAGGTGCTCTATCACTTGAGCCACTCCCCCAGCAACCTCCCCCTTTTCTTCCTGTAGTGCTAGGGATTGGACTCAGGCCCTTGCTCATGCTAGGCAAGTGCTCTACCACTGAGCTAATATCCCCAGCCAGAAGCTTTTTGATCCTACATCTTACAAATATATCAGGAAAAACAGATTGGACACGACCTGCCTTATTGACTGGTGTATTCTGTAATGAATGTGACCTGACTCCTTGACTGGGGCATGTTTGGACAGCTCTGTTTTTGAGATTAGCAAACTTTCAATGGTTTGGAAGTCAGGTCATTTTGTTCTATTCTTCATTGTACAATTCAAACACTTGTGACTGGAGGTAAAAATAGGTGCCCTCTTGGTATTGTAACCATGAAAATGACTTAGGAGTGACATTTCCCACAGCATCATTCTCTTGTGGATATTGTTTTCAGGTAACAATTTTGGGCAAACTCAGAGATAATCATTTGTTAGCAGTGAACTATAGACCGTTTGGAGAGGAGGTGCACTATCATCTATTCTTACGTCGAGCGCTCTGCACTCAGGAGCGTTTTGGGATCTGAAGGCCATTTTATGTCCACGCTACCTCTAGAGAACAATGGAACCCTAATTCCTCAGTCAGTCTTTGTGCTGGCTGGCAGAAACACTTCAGAGGGGGAATGAAGGGACGGTTGCTGTCCATGGTGGCTGTTGCCATTCCCTATTCAGCACAATGCTTTACACACCAAATACTAGACCCCTGGGAATTAACCTGGATGCGGCAGTAATGAAGTTTGGCAATAACCTCTAGCCATGCATATTGAAACATAAAGGTCATATCAGCGCCATCCCTTACTGGTTGGGGCAAAAACATTAAAATAATTCAAAGCAGAAGCCTTTTTTATTTTTTGCATTAAGATAGTCCCTACTTGTTAGAATTTCAGACATTTTTGTATTCCAGAAGTACATAAAAATATAAGGGATTATCTCCTGAAACCCTCTCATATGATGGAGAATATGATGGAAAATGAAGTTGATGCCTAGAGAGGTTCAGCTACTTGCTTAAGGACCATCCTCATTGGAGAAAGGAGCAAAGCCTTGAATACATGCCACGTTGTACTGACCCTGGTATTGTGGTGCTCTGGGATACTTTTCCCTTCAGTAATTTTATTTTTCTGCTAAAAATCATTTAAGTTCCAACTTATGGCATTCAAAATACGGACTCTAGGTAGTCTCATGTTTCTCTTTGCTAATACCGTGTCTATATTAATTCATATATTATTCCTTATGAAATGAGACAATTTATGGTACCAATAACCAACCTGTCTGGATTCCCAATGATAAAAAAGCATTCATTCTAATACATGTCGTCAAGAGTGAGACCCTCTCAACATAAAATGCTTATTTAAAAACAGTCATTTTATATCAGAACAGACTAACATTGGAAATTAACCAATTTCCTGTATTATTTCTTCATATTAAAAAACTGTCCAGAGGACCATGTTGAATATTCCAATCTGACCAATTCAAAGATGGTGGTAATTTTCCTAAGAAAAATGTAAAACTCTGATATGAGGCCTTTGTACATATTTAGAGGAATATAAGTTCAATAATTTATTCATTTGTTTGGTGGAAGCACAATACAGTAGTTAAGCTCCTAATTTTGGAATAATATCTGAAGACTCAGTCTCAGGTATCCCACTTAAAAGCTTTGTGATCTTGAATAAGTTACTAATTTGTAAAACGAATGTGACAGTGATGGAAGCTACTTCATAGAGTTATGGCAATGAGGAAATGAGATTACCCATGTGTGGTGGTCTTTTTGATGTGCTAACTTGATGTGTTTACACCAACCTAGGTGCTGCTGTGAAGGTATTTTGTAGATGTAATTAAAGTTCATAACCAGTTGAATTTAAGGGAGATTGTCTTAGATAATTTGGTTCCATCAATTTAAAGGCTTTAAAAGCAGAACTAAGGATTCCCTGAAGAAGAAATTCTACCTGTGGATGGCAGTTTTGGCTCACTCCCTAGGATTCCAACCTACCCTTCTTGATTACCCGCCCTACAGATTTTAGACTTGTCTGGCCAGTCTCCACTATTACATAAGCCAATTCTGTGCAATAATTCTCTTAGAATATGTCTCCTACTGGATCTACTTCTCTGACTGAACCCTGATACACCATGTAAAGCATTAAATAGTTAATTATAATTATTAATAAAATTACCTGCCACAAAATAAGCACTTGAAAAATCTTAGCTAAATTACAGAAAAACCCTTATTGAGCATCTTTCACATTCACAGCACTGAGGCATGCACTCTGATTTTAAGAAAGAGTTCTGAAATATATTAGGCATAGTTATCAATTGCCTTCAATGTTAGTTACCACAACCAGAAAGGGATTTAATGTTTTAGTAAAATTTCCAGAACAAGGAGAAGTGCACAGGTGATTATTCGATCTGGAGCTTGAAGGAGAGTTTGGCAAGTCTAGTATGAGGAACAGTTTCCTGGGTTAGAAGATAATGAAACAAAGGCGGGTCGTCCTCTCTCAACAGAGTTCATAGAGATTGCCCTGGAAAGTAAATCAACCTATCATGACTCACCATGAAATTCGCATGATGTAATACTAACCTCATTCATGGCTTGGTCCTTCAGCCAGGCTAGAATTATATAGCTTAGGAGAACAAGTTTGAAAATTCTCAGAAGAAGAAATACTCTGAGTATTGCAGTAACAAGATCTTTTCTCAATGTTAGCTTAATATTAGTAATTCCGCATTATTATGTCTTAAGATCTTTGTCAATTTTTAAAAGCATTTTTAAGCAGGAAAAAATAAATTTAAAAGTATCACAAAAAAAAGCAGACATAGGGCACAAACCTACTTAGCTAGAAAACTGTCGTCTATCTTTCAGAATTACAATGGCCAAATTTACAAAGCTTTAAGACTCCGGAGAAGTAAAACAAAAAACCCTCCGGGAGATAAGGCTCTGATATAAATAGGATTAAAAGATGATGAAGAAGTAAGAGGAGAGTTGGCACCTTTTCACTTTATATTAAAGCTCTGACAACTTAGAATCACTCTTACAAATGTACATGTCTTAAAGTGAGTGTCCTATGATTCTTTTTACCTACATTAGTGATTTTTCAATTTCAAAGGGCGTGAAAAGAAAAGTTACTTTTATTCATTATGCAGAGATTTGTTGAATGTTTATGCTATCAAATATTCAGGTGGCTGCTCAAGGATAA